TTGAGTATTAACAAAAGGAAATCATTCATAATATATCAAATTTTGAAGTAAAATTGGTAAAATTCGAAATTTCTTATTTTTTTCCAAAATGAACATAAATTTTTAGCTGTTAATCGTGTACGAAATATTATAGGGTACCACAAACAAAAATACCATAACTATTGTCATATTTTAAATACAATTTCTTTGTTAACTTATAACCGCAAGTTTTGACAGTTTTATTTAAGCTCTCATTTAAATTTAAAAAAAAATAATATGTTTTTATATACAAAACATATAGGAAAAAAAGCTTTAAAACAAGATTAAGATAAGCAAAAATTATCACTAATTTTTTTATGGTATTCTTTCATTTATTTAATTATAACGAATTTAATAAATTCGTTTAAATGTTTATAAATATATATATAAATAGTAAATGCGTAAGTGTGTGCGTATGTTTGTATATCAATTATAAAACGTTTAATTTTATTATTGTGATAATATGTTAAATTAACAACAAATAACATTTATGTTATTTCATATACATACAAACATACAACCTTACATACTTAGATACTACATTCTCAAGCCGTATATGACTACGAGTGAAATACCAAAAAATACCCCAAATATCTTATAGATAAGGTTTTGTTTTAGTTTGGAAAACTATGCGTTTTTTTTTTCGTTTTAGTATCGGTGTTGGGTGTTATTTGTGGTAAATATGAATAGATACAATGTCATATAATTAAATATACATAATCATACTCACACATTAACACATTTTATTTTTTTTGGTTAACTACATTTTTTTCGGCTGACTAATAAATTAATGATTTAATCTATTGTTATAAAGTGATTAAGCTTTTTAAATTTTATCTGACAAATTTTGGGGAAAAAAAGAACTCTTTCTATAAGAGTGTCTTTCCACTGTATAGTTAAAAGAACAACAAATTTTTGTTTGTTGAAGTGACGGCGACTATAATCAAGTGTCTTGAAATCCGTCGGCATTTTGAGGAAAAATTAGATATTTTGATAATTTATACAATTTTCTTTTAGAAGCTAAATATTTTTTATGTTTCAGTTTTTTATATGCAGCCAATATCTGATACATCGACTTTACACAACCGAATTATCAAAAGGATTATCTCAATAATCTGAATAAACTTGTTATGATCTCGTATATTGAGATTTTAGGCACATTAATTGCTGTTATATATATGATAACTAAAGACAAATATGCTCAAGTCGATTGGTCGAATTTAACTCATAGATCAGTTACACAATATTATGAATGATGCTGATCAATAAATCCGAAAAGATCTAAAGAAGGAGACCTATCATATAAGTATGTCACTTTCATGTCTGACTGCTCATCACTAACGATATGGATATGTCCGTCCGTTAGCCTATTAAAGGTACTATAGGGCAATTTTCCTTTGACGATCAGTTACATAATATTGTGGACGATGCTGATCAATACATCCGAAAAGATATAAAGAAAGAGAGTTATCACCTAAGTATATCACTGTCATGCCTGACTGCACACCAACGATATGGATATTTGTGCGGGAAACCTCGATCCATATTTTGCCACCCTACGATAATAGATTAGAAATGTGTAACTAAACGATCAGAGAATATTGACAATATTGCAAACATTTTTTTTATCGCAATTGAACGACAATAGGTTGGTGCAGAGTTAGCCCTAAAGTGAGAAACTAAATGGGTTTGAGCATCTATGGTGTAATGCCGGAAACTTCCCCAAAACCCCAAACCCAGAACACTAGCTTCCAATATCTTTCGCAGAATGTGTAAAATAAATTAGATTGAATATGATGCCATCAGAGGTCATCATATTTTCCGACAGACAAGGCAATTAGAGCAATATCAGCTGGTACAATCTAAGACCATATTGTACTGTAAGAGAGCCATAACCATATACACTTCCAGTGGTAAGCTGTACATCACATGGTTAGCAGGCCACACGAGGATAATCGGGAATGGAGAAATGTACTTAATCTAAAATGTAGGAAGCTTGAGGAAATTTATTTGACGAATGCCAAAATGTTAGACACACGGAGTGCTTCATTAAATGTATTTGAAATAATTGAATATTGGATATGACCACAAACTATCCTAACCTGATATAATAGCTATGAACCCTATAGAAACCAAATTAAAACATTCTAAGTTCATTCTAATGATCTTTAAGTCATTTTCTGAAGGAGACTTTGTATGGGCGCTAGAGTCAAATGAGGTCCGACCATTACGAAAATCGGCAGTATCATTTAAACTTATATAAAACAAAGTTTTGACGTTTTTTTTTTTTTTGTAGAGATACTGGAACATTTAACATAATTATGAGATCAAAAGCCCTAGGCGAAATAATGGACCGATTTTAATAACTTTCAATAGTCTTCGTCCTTGAGCCAAAAGAAGTGTATGTACGGACACAGACTAAGTAAATCGACATGGAAAGTGATTCTGATTGATTGGTATACTTTAAGGTTGGAGTAGGACCAATATTTTTGGATATTACAAACATTACCACAAATATATAATACTCTTCCAACTATAGTGTTGTAGGATATAGACATGTATAGACAAAAACGACATAAAAATTAAAATTTTTTCGGCTCAGAATGTCTTAGTTTGGAGGCCAATTACATATTGTGTTTCTCACGCATTTTTCATCACACACCCATCGAAAACACGGTAATGGCTTGTTCCTACTTTTCAATGACTACCTCTTACCGTCTGCATTACCTTTAAGTATTCTTACAATGACTTACATATAATTAGATTCGTATTCTGTGTGAGCAAGTTTTTTGTTTTTAAAATAAAACACCTTCTTTGTAAGTACTTATATAAGAAGAGATTTGTAAGCGAGCGTGGTAAGTTCTTGCCTCCATTGTCATCACCGTATTAAAATAATGAGTTAAAATGCTAATGAAGAAGTAATAAAAAGCGTTTTTTAGCTTTTTAACTCACTACTTTTCAATGTAAGTTTTTGCTGGGTATGTATATATCGCTCATTTAAGTCAAAACTCGGGTTTTTTTACTGAAAGCTACAAAATATGCTTCATACAAGAATCTTTCACACAGTTGGATCGAATTTCAAATATGTCTATTATTTTCGGTGCAAGATCGATCGAAGAACTCATATTTTGAAGAATATTACATAAATAACATTAAAGTTTCAATTTAGTTGAGAAACATATTGACTTTCAAAGCTTACATCGTTGTCAGATCTTCCAATGTTGGCAGAAAAATGTTCAGAAAATGTCTAACAACCGTTTAAACTTACAACTTTTGTCTTCAACGTTGTTAGAAAAAGTGTTGTCAGTATATTGTAAATAAATAATATTGTCAGGCATCTAACAACCGTTTAAACATATTACGTCGCCATTGTCAGATAATTGTCTGACAATTTTTATTGTCAGATGAATTTTATGTATCTGACAGTGGAAACATTGTCAGATAAATATTTTCTATTGACAACAGGGTGCATTTAAATACCCTATACAGTTAAAATAAGATCTAGCAACTTTTGTCATACAACAATCTTACGGTGGCGTGTCATAATGTCCAGTGTCATAATGTCCATAGACCCTATGACACACCATAACATTACATCTCTTTTTTAAAATGTCATAATGTCCATGGACATTGTGACACTTTTAAAACAGAAAAGTATTGGAAAATTTGTTTAGAATTTAAGAAAGGTACAGACTTGTCCCGAAAATAATTGCTCCTAAATTTGGTGTATGTTGCATTTTGGATTCCTTTTAAAAAGTGTTCTGGATAGCCGGCCTTCGGCCGCGCTCAGGGGTTTTAAACTCTGGGAAATTTCGAATACCGGCTTCGCTAAAATAAGCCTTTTTTTGATATATGGACTCTTTGAAATCCATGGACTTTCTGTCGCATTGCTCTTGGACATTGTGACACTTTTGAGAGTGTCATAAGGTCTATGGACATTATGACATGCCACCTAATCTTACAGCAGTGTGAACTGTTAAGTTTTATTGGCAAATAAATTTATTGCCTGGCAATGAAATTGTGAGGATTTCTTAAAACCTTCTGAATTAAAAATTTACCTGGTGCTAACAATATTTCATTGTCATAACATTGCCATTACATTACCAGATCCGCCAACGTTTGAAGATCTGACAACCGTGTATACATAGCTTAAATATGCGTGTATGTATGTGGGCTCTATGATCGATCGCGAGATGACTTGAATTTTGAGTTTAAAATTTAACTGGGTTATAGTAACATTCAGAGCATTAAAAAGTCCGTCGGAAAATAATCTACCGAAAAATATTACTAGAATTAAAAACCTCAATATAATAATAAGGCCTTACTGCGCATCGACGTTTTGCAATTGTAATGGAATTATCATAATTACTTGTAATTGATAATCCTTCAATTACAATTACTTAAAGTACTTAAAGGGTAATTGATGAACAAGTAACTTAGAAAGTAATAATTTCTTGATTGACGACCCAATTTAAATTCTTTTTAAAATGAAAGGTTTTTTTACTGATCGATGTTTTGCAATTGTAATAGAATTATCACAATTACTTGTAATTGATAATCCTTCAATTACAATTACTTAAGGTACTTAAAGGGTAATTGATGAGCAAGTAACTTAGAAAGTAACAATTTCTTGATCGATGACCCAATTTAAATTGTCTTTAAATTATTTAAATTTAAAATTCCTTAACTAAAATTCAATTAAAATTAATTGAACTTTAAATATTTTTAGTTTTATAAAATTTACCTACATAGTTTAACTATTCCATTAAAAATGTTAAAATTTCATTAAAAATTTTATAATTTTTGACTAAAGGACACAAAATTTTGCACATGTTCAATTTTATGTTTATTCCCTAAGTATTGTTTAAATATGAAACAAATTTTGATGAGAGTTATAATTAACACCTCAAGATAAAAATTTCAGGCGGACAGTTTGGTTTTTTTTTGGAATTTTTCTTTGTGTATATTTATGTATATCATACCTGTTGTCCGGCATTGGCGGCTACCCAAGCTTCGGCAAATGTCTCCATAGCACTTTGAAAATCCATGACGATTTTTTTTTTAAACACACACTCACTAAAACACTTTAACTCTTTTTACTTTTTAATTATTTCAATTATTTTTGTGTTTTTTCTTTTGTATAGCAATTAATAACGAGTTTTGTTTAAAACAATTTAAATGAAAATTTTTTTTATTTCAAAGGTGTTGAAGAATTGCAAATTGTTAATAGTTGCATTATTTATTTTAAAACACATTTAATGATTTATTAAAGAAAAATTTGTTAAATGTAGTATTTTTATATATATTTTCTTTTTGGTTTGTAATGGATTTTAACGATTTAATGTAATTAAAGGATTTGTTACAGTGTATGTTTTTTTTTAACATATGACGTTAAGGTTGATAAAATGTTTGATTGTTGGCATAACAATTGACGCGACTTCATTAGTAAGGACTGTAGCGGTTATTAAAGGTGGCTGTGAAACCCTTAAGGTCTAATGTTTATGATAAGATTGTTGTTGTTTTAAGCCTTAAAAGCAAACCAAAACAATCATAAAACTTACTTAACAAGTCCATAAACTTAGTATAGGTAACAGCTATTATACTAGTAGTTAGTTGCAGCAGCAGAGTTAATAGTAGGTGTAACCAATTAGTTAGGATGATGATTAGAACGCGGCAAATTTAGTTGTTGTTGTTGTGTTTTTGCAAACCATAAGAATTCCAATTTGTTTAGAACGACAGGTAGTTAAATATGATATTTTGTTAGGTTTTCTTTTATATTTTTTTTTAATTTTTTTCTTGCTATTTTTAGTTAAATATGATCATGGCTTATGGCTAATTGTCAGAATTGTGACAGCTGCTGTTGTTATGAATTCGTTTTCTTAACATTTACTTGCAGTTCTTCTGGTTATTTAAAAGTATCTATCAAATACAGGTGACACTTAAGTAAACACGTTCTCAAACATTAAAAAAACTATAAGCCGCCAGGGTGAATTTTTACAACAACAAAAAAAAAACTATAAAATTGTCATTAGCACAAACACTAGGGAATGGACTGCCTCAGCATTAAATAAAAAACCGCAAAAAAATTTTTTTTAATTTCTATACAAGGCGCCAAATTTTTTATACCAATTTTTCAAAAAAAATTAGTTTTAATTTGTATTTAATTTAATTTGAAAACATACAACGCACACACACACACTCGCGTTTAATTACGGGGAGGGTGGTTTACAAACAAATAACCAAAAAAAAGTGTTAGAAAATTTGTTATTGTTTTCTTTTAATGTCGCACTTGATCGAACGGGCGCCATACAATGTCTATTAACACGCAATGTCAACTACGTTTTGTTAAGTCAACAAACAAATAAGACTGACTACGTTATTTTCAAACATTCAAAACAAAATTTTTTTTTTTAATAAAAAGTTTTTGACTTTTTTTTTCTCAATCTTCTTCTTAACCATAACAATTGTCATTTCTTTTATTATTAATAAATTTAAATCATTATAAATTTCAATTTTGCTAAAATAAACATATAAAAAGAAACAATTAAAATAGTTTTAGTTCAAATTGATTTTAAATTCCAAATAAAAAAAAGAAAAAATTTGTGCAAACGCGCGTAACAACATGCTCACCTAACGCAAGTTGTCGCACAACTGATGTTTTACTCTATTCGCACACAAATGTATCTTTTTGTTATTGTTGTGTGTGTGTGTGTATGAGTGTGTTTGTCGTTTCCGTTTGTTTGGTATTAGTGTTAAATATTTTTCTCTTTTCAAAATTGTTTTACTCTTAATTTACCACTACTACTGCAGAAGTTTTGACTAGTCTTCTGGCGACGTTAATACATTTTGTTTTTGTATCCACCACTTCCACTTTACATTTTTGGCCGGATTAAGGATTAAGTTTTATTTGACTGGAGTGCTGTGGCTGTTAATGGGTGTTAATTGGGTATTCAATGACTCTGCTAATTAAAAATGTTTTTCTGAACCGGTTCTGTAACTTCCAATACTCTACACACAGGTCAGCGTTTTGTCTTACTATAAGGGACAGTATCCTGGATGTTTCAGTTTCGGACTTTTCCGGAAAGTATCCCATATAAATCTTAGCCCTAGAAACTTTATCTTCGGACAGGCCTTAGGTTACAGCTCCAATCGAAGGCTTTAACGTGGCATATTCTTTGTTCCACTTGGCTGAATCTGTGCTCTTACTGTTGGATACCAACCAGCCGGGCTTAAACGAGCAGTCTGAAAATTACGGTTCTATAGGGCCATTCTTTAGCTCTACAGTTTTGTCCAGGACTACTAGATTTTTAACTTTTGGTCAGATCACATTTCTATAGGGAATTTAGGTGGAATATATCCAAGTCGAATGTTTTTGCAACATCTCTGTATAATAGTTGAGAGTGCAAGTTTGGCTTATCAGCGGTTAAATTCGCAGGTTTGGCTTTGTGCGCGCCAGCTGCAGTGGAACTTGCTAACCGTTTCGGAGGGTTAGACTTTTCGGGTGCTGATTCATCCGATCCGCCTCTCTTCTTGGGGATTTTCAATTCACGCAGTACATAGCGTGCCTCACTCATAGGTTATTAGTATACGTACCTCCTTGATGTCCATGACGTGCTCGATGTAGGCTGAGCAAGTAATCTGAGCATCTAGATCTCTAGATCGTTGCTAGGCTTCAGCTAGGTCTATGGGCAACTGTACTGATTATTCTTTGCTTTTATTACTTTGTTTAAGATCCATCTAAAATGAAAGAATATTAATGGAGATGCAGAAGAAGATCATGCAATAGAGCACCTTGCTACAGATGTGCAAAATATGCAACCAGTTTGTTGCCCAGGTCTGGAGGCCTCCTTACTAACATACTAAAGTGGGGCCATTCATCTCATGGTCACGGTGCAGATAACAACCGCAATTACGGGTTTTTATCGAGTATCCACTCAAGATCCGCCATGTTTTGCTATGAATCGGCGGCGATAACTCGTGCTGGGCTTGACTCTTCGGCCCGCCTGGTCGATCATAGGAATATGACGATGTTGTGGCAGTATCAACTGACGCATTCATACCCATATAGCACTGGCTACATAAGCGCATTACTATAGCTTGCTACAGCTTCACAGATTTAATGGATGCCCTAGGTTGCATTCGTACAGTCCGGTTTCATCTGAGGTACCGTTTCATCTGAGTTACACTTATGTGTGTTTTGCATAAATTCTTAACGTTTTCGGAATTTACTTTATGTTTCAGAGCACATGCGTATCAAGTGGTTCTCTACAATATTCATTCATCTGAATCGAACTCCTGTGACTCTATATTCCGTTTCTTTAGAGGTGTTCTATAAAATCTACCTCTCTTTATATGAAATTTTGAATCAAGTAACTCTCGACGAACATCATCAGAATCAGACATTTCTGCTCCTCTACCTCTCATTCCCATTTCTGTGTTATCGTGATATTAGGCATGGACTTGTTTCATCAGAATCGGTCCTCTTTTTGCATCTCATTGGCATCCTATTTCATTACACTTAGCTTCTAGGAGTCCTTCCACTAGACCTTCTTCTCTTCTTTGGATTTTCTAGATTGTTAACTTCCTTCGTTCGACTAAGGGTTAATTTTCTTGGATCCTCAATTTTCATGTCACGATCATTATAGAAATTGAACTGTTTCCAAGCAACTCTATAGAGAATATATATCTCTGTAAAGCTGCGCTTCTCTTCTCTAGACTGTTTTTTTGTTAGTTTATATTCTTTATAGAGACTTTTTCTTGACGCTTTTCAGAGCTAAGGCATCTTTGTTGTGGAATTCAGCAACTTTCACATAAATGTAATAAATACATCTGTGAAATAGAATCGGATTGCATTACCGCCTTGGTCTGGTCACACACAGAATTTGATCTTTGATCTTCGTTTGACTTAATAGAATTTGAATTTGACTTAATAGAACTAATATCCAAAAGGATGAGCTTGCTTTATTTATTATCGAAATCGGAAACTCCATATACATCAATAACATAACAGGGTCTCTTACAGGCTTTGCGACTTTAAACGTAAACCATAGGATCTTAAGGAGACAATGACTCATATCGGGCTCAAGATAAACACTAGTAAAATGGAAGTCCTGGACAGTAGTTAGGGGTATTGGCCAGAATACTATAGCTTGAGATGATTATAGGCCAGAAATCATGAACTATTCTTCTGAGTCAGTGGTTCACAAAAGTTTAGAGCCGGTGGTTAACGTACGACTGACTTGTCAGGTTGTACAATCACAGATAAGTATCGACTTAATCTTTATTGTGAGGATTTATTCGTTTACTTTGCCATATTGGGACCAATATCCAATATGTTTAATTATTATATCAACATCGAAATCGGAAACTCCATCTACATCAATAACACCAAGGGCAGGTTTTGCGACTTCAAACGTACACCATAGGATCTTAAGGATACTATGACTCTTATGGGGCTCAAGATAAACACTAGTAAAATGAAAGTCCGGGACATAATTTTCAATGTTCCAAATGTTTCGAAGTTGTACAACCTCTGTTGTGTAGTAGATGCAGATGGAGTTTCCGATTTCGATGTTAATATAATGATCAATAAAGCAAGATCTTCAAATATTATCAGCGGAGTAAGAAACGTAGTAGCAAATTTTGCTCTCGAAAATCAGGCGAAAAAAGTGACCAAGAATGACTTGTATATAGTCTTGAATACTACTTCTGCTATTATCTAACTGATGGACTAATGGGGTTGAGTGTTACGTTCATAATATGGAAAGTATAGTTATAGTCGATCAGACCAATATTATTTACACAACTTATGGCCGTGAATACGTCTGGTTTCCAACTCATGAAGGAATTGCAGTGATAAGGTTAAGGAGGAGAGAAAGTTTCACACACTCTATTAATGGTCGGATCAGTGGGACAGGCAAACCAAATTTGATTTAGAAATCTGCTTGTCAATGTCCGATTAATCGGCTTTCATAGAAAATGTTAGTTAAGGCTCACGGTTAGTTTAAAAGATGTTAGATCAAATCTGAAGAAATACTTCTAGGCCTCCACCGGGCCTGTTCTACGCTCTTATACCAGAGCCTCTGGTGGCAAGAAAATTATAACCCCGCTATTTATAAAAATCATTTGCGAGGAAGATATAAATTTTCATTTCTTTCTACAATTTAATAGAAAAATATTAAATCTGTTTTATCAAAATAATCTCTTACATGGCAAGTTAGAACAAAAAATTTCATCACATTAAGAGAGAAACTCAAAAACGATTTCTAAAGTAAAGGAATTTTATTAAAGAGAAATTTTAATACACTCACAACTCACCGGTAAATTTGTGAATGTGTGCAACCAAAACAAAACCAATACATAAACATTATTATTGAAAGAGAGCTGATGAAGGGAGAAAACTCTCCCTTATCATTTGTAGGTTTGTAAAATGATATGAAAAGAGAGCTTTAAGGTAGAGAGAGAAAGAGAGCAATTCTCTAAAAAGCACTAATACTATAACAAAGATTATGCATTTATGCAAATGTTGGCCAAAAACTCAATTATTACGGCTAGCAGAAACAACCCATTGTGAACCTGTTTTCTTTTGACAAACATTTTTAAAGGAAAGAAACATAAACAACCATTATTAATAGAGCAACTTAATGTCAACTCTCAGAGATTTCTTTAGCAAAGCTGTCAGAATTTTCAACAAACCAACTAACTATAAAGAACATAATGAAGTTGGGTACTAAGAGTGAAAAACTAAAAAAAAGTCTTATGGATTTTACAGTATTTTGGGAATTATATTAAACCAATACAACATTTGTGGCAAGTAGTCCATGTTCATGTCGGGGTTTTGTTGGTTTGAGTGGGTTGTGTCATGTCAACCACAAAATGTATAATACACCAACACTGTCAGCTCCTCTAAGTGCTGACAATATGAAGGTATCGGTCGGTCGGTTAGTGATGATAGGAGTGGAAGTAGTATCTATGTTAAAGCGAGAGCTAGAAAGAGAGAGAGAAAGAGATTGCGAATGAAGCACAAATGTTTTGTTATATACAACGATTTAATGCGGATGAAGAGTATGTGTAATACATTGTTGTATTTACTAAAAAAAATTATAAAATGAGTTGGATATTTTTTGTTTGTTTATTGTGCCAAAAATTTCGTTATGCCTTATTAAGCAAGCAACTCCCACTCCATGTTTGTTTTTTTTTCCTTCTTTCATTTTGGCAGCTTTTCAGCAATTCCTATTGCCTTTGCTGCTATTTTGGCAACTGCATTGTGTTGGTATTATAACCAGCAGTTAGTCGAGTTGTTTATAATTATGATTGTATATACAAAGGTATTAACCATATAAACACGCACACACACAGCTATAAACCTTAATACTTTAGTGTGAGTGTGAATTTTTGGCTAAAACTAACAGATAACCGTCGGTTACTTGGTTGGCTGTCTGCTTTCAGTTTTTTGTTTATTTCTTATTTCTCTTGTATAGTTTTTTTCCTGCTCGAACTGACCATGATTGTTTGGCATTTTCATTTGTGTAGAGTGGCAGATAAGAAAAACGATAATGCGCGCGCATTACATGCGATTAGGTGCCAGCATGAAGGATTTAGCCAACCATTATAAAGGAAATTTTTAGTACAAAGAGTATGATTTG